TGTTGGTCTTGGATTGGCGTGTTTCGGTGTTCCTTGTTGAATATACTTCCACTGGAAACACACAATTTGTACTGGATGTTGGACCCGCCTTCAAGTTTGGAGGAGCATCAATTTCAACTACGGAAGACAAGTCACGCCTATTCATTGATTATTCTCGATATTTCATGCAAGGCTGACGAGATGCACAGTCCGCTACAATTCTAGAAGCGTAAGAACTGGCTGAGTTGCAGAAGCGTAGTTTTGCAATAGGGAGAGGACGGGGGATTGATCAGGGACGATAAGGACAAAACCTACCTTGAAAAGTTTCAACGCACTGGGACATCAAATGATTCGGTCCTCCTTCATCTTAAACAAGGGGAGAGGGCACGTGAGCTGGAACGATTAACTTAACATGAAACTACCCACCTTAGTGGGTCCCAGTCGGGACGCCCAGATCCAGTTCAGTGTTTTCAAGAAAAATCCTTGATCGCAGCTGTACAATCCAGGCATACATGTGGCGCAAAAATATCGAATCTTCGGTACCGGTCTGTGACAATGAGACAGCGTATGGAACATAACATACTTATTTTCTGACTGGAGGCGCTCGATATAAAACTGAGTTCTTGTTTTGGGCAACCTGTGTGAAGGGCGTGTTTCTTTAGAACGGCATCCAAGTTTCATAGCCCAAATGTAAATGTTCCGAGGGGCTACAACACGCCAAAAACCATTGAAGAATTGTCATTCCGTGTCTATCGCCGTCAGCCGCGTCGGCGCCGGCCTTCTGTAGGGGTTTTTGGACGAAACAACACGCCGTGCGCGCTTCGACGGCCGCCATACCTTCCGGTGCAGGTCCCCGCCTAGAGGGCCGTTCAGACGTTCCAATAGCATGCTGCGATATGTGTCTGCAGGTCCAACCAGACTAAAGCAAAGGGGGAAAATCTGTCGCTTCTCTATTCATGCTCAAGGAAAGAAACGGTAGCCTGTTTTTTGGCGACGAGTCTCTCTCTCTCTCTCCTCTCCTCCTCTCTCTCTCATCTCTCCTCACTCAGTCCTCTCTCTCTCTCTCTCTCTCGTCCTCTCTCTCTCTCTCTCTCTCATCTC